GCACGGTGTCCACCCGACTTTTGGGGAAGTCGGTATGCTGGCCCTCCAGAGGATGACTTGGAAGATGTTTCTCTAGTTAACCAAGCCGTGGTTCATTGCTTAAGTGTGTTTTCGTTCACGACAAAATACCGTAGTCTGGGGCGCTACCCAAGATGTTTGGAAGGCGACTGTATTTGTTCACTGTGGAAGGTTAAATCCTGACTGACCGGAGCAGCTGGAGTTCAGCTGGATGGTGCTGGCAGCCCCCAGGCCTAGGGTGCTTCCCCCGACTTGAGACGGCCGCGGGGCTGGGTTCGCGCAGCTCGCACCCTGCTCCCCACAGCCCCCCGGGGACCCTCTGCCCTGGGCCGAGCTGTGGCAGCAGCCAGCCTCCCCCCAGGGCTGCTCCTGTTCCCCTTGGTGATCAGGTAGCTATGGTCATTTAGAAATTTACTTCACTTTCATTACCCAGGGACAATTTTATCTCTTTATAATATTAAATTGAAGTTTTTTGTGTTTCAGTGTGTGGCCTTTTATGTTGGTAATACGGAAGGACTGAAGGCACCGAAGGAACACCAAACAGTATACACAGAAACGCGATCTTGCCAAGCAGCCTGGATATACTGAAGCTGCCGCTCTGGAAGGCAGAGGACCTGTTCGCCGGCTGCACAGAGCATTGGTGTGATGCAGGCAGCCCAGCGTCTGCCTGAGGTCTCAACACTGCCCATCCTGTCTACTCTGAAACTGTTTTTAGGCATTTCGCACTCTGTTCCTGGGAAGGGAAGCTACCGCATGTGCGTTAGTGTTGATGGGTTTGCAGCACTTGCAAGCACTGTCATCGCTCTAAGCAAAACTAAACTGACCTTGCAATGCTACACTTGAAAACATGCTACTAGATCTTCAGCACTCAGAGCAACAAGAACTTGCAGATTGCAAGTGCTATTTTAAGGACAACACATTTTCTTTTCATAGCAAACTTATTTCTATTACTGATAGGAAGCAAATGCTTAAACTTGATGCTGCACTTTGAGCTAGGACATCACATTACTTCCATACACAGACAAAATACTACCTAATGACAGAAAATAGTTAAATACTGGCAAAAAGCAAAATGAATGCATCTTCTTCTTGCATTATCTATACAGAACAAAAATATCTATTTTTAAAGGGAAAATAGAATGTCCCTGCTATGCCACATTAACTCTATAGTATTTTAAACTTTGCTCCTATATCATTTCATTCATATATTCTAGTCTTATTTCAGGTCTCTAAGAGCTACTGTAATACTAATAATGAAATAATAATAAATCTACCAAAGAGTGCAGTGTGTTTGCTTGTACATGACCTATCTTGGCTGAAAGTCCCTTGAAGTCAATGGTAAAACTGATCTACAATGTGTGCAGTCCTGTTTGTTTCTATTTTCCCTGTGTGCACATTTGGAAGCGTATCTGGTAATTCTTTCGGTAATTAGAAGACTCTGTGTTTTTGTAATTTTTCCAGTTGACCTCTGAAATCATCACGGAACGTTACGAATTTAACGACACCCTCAGGGCGCTGCTGGAGAAGCAGGA